TGTATACTTGAGATAAAGATACAGCAAGTATCTATAAGAGAAATACATAATTAAGACTGTCTAAACTGTATCTAAACCTTCCCGTAATACTCGATCAATGCTAAAAAACAAAGGAGAATTTTAACCCAACCATCAAGTAGCCAATCATCTGTATACTTGAGATAAAGATACAGCAAGTATCTATAAGAGAAATACATAATTAAGACTGTCTAAACTGTATCTAAACCTTCCCTAAAAGTAAGGTGTTTAAAAAAAGGTGTGTGTGCATGTATGAAGAAAAATTGATTTTATTTGTTGCTCTTATTTCACTTTTTTCCTAAATGTAGTTTATAAAATTTGAGTAGAGCTTGTTAATAGTATTGTATTTTAGAAGGTACATTTTCAAATTGGAGAACTTCTTCTAGAAATTGATTCCTGAAATCTTCAGAAGAATTAGGTTTCTAATCTGTCATGTGTAATAGGTTTCTCTCCTGTGTTGTGTTGGGTCAGTTGTGTGACCTGGCTTTTAAAGAACGTTTGTTCTTTTTGTTTGTAAATGTTTTTCATATACAGAAAGAAGAAGTATCCAGATTTGTTTAAGTGGTTTTGCATTGAAACAATAGAAGTTTGCTGCCCTGCTGGAACTTATGGACCCGATTGCCTTGGTAAAATTCAGTAGCAGATGCAGTTTTTTTACCTGTTTGTTTCAGTCTTTACTGTCACAGAGAAATACATGATGTACAATATTTTGCATGAGACACAGGCTGCTGTGTAGTATGTACCTGCTTGCTGCCTCATAGCTGAGTGGCTACCCTGTGAATATTCTGCCTGAATAAAAGTCTTCTGGGCATGTAGTAATGTACTGAGCTGTCAAAGGTACCAAGATGTGCAGAAACAATCAATCTGATGCTAATATCCACACCTGGCCCATCCTTAAAGGCTCTCTGTAACATGAAGTCTGTTGTTTAGGTGACCTTGCAGATTCTATGTAGACAAGAATCCTTGATCAGTGTAAAGAGTAAAACAACCCAAATGCTGTTGGGTTTTAAATGAAGAAACTTGCAACTGAGGATCAATTAAAAAGGCAATGACAAAAATTGGGTAAAAGTAGGTGGGAGGTGAAAGTAAGGTCTTTGCAAAAGTGATGAGAGATCTTGGCCTCTGAAGCTGGTAAAATTTGTAAATCTCTAAAACTTCACACCTTATTAAGAGATCGATTTTGGCTGCTTAATATATTGGTAAAAATTTAGTCCCCATTCCCTATATTGATCTAAATGATACCTGGTAGATTTTTACAAATGTAATGTGAGCCTTCTCAGAGATACAGAAGAAACAAAGATACCAATTTAGTCCAGGAAGCTAGGAAAATAAATAAAATTTTAAATCATGGTCTTTACCTGAAATCAAATTGATAACTGAACTTCCCTGGAGATTGCTTTGAGTTTTCCTTATACTTGAATATGTTATTAAGCATTGCCTTATTGCAAAACTTTTAGTTACTCTCAAGGGTGAAAAAGACTCTTGGAAATTATATCCTACTTTAGTGTGACAATTTAATTTTTATTTTATTTTCTGTAAAGATGGAGGGACTTCAGGTGCTTGTGTCTGAGAGTAGAAAGTTATTTTCTGATTTTAAAATATTTTTGATCCTTTTTTAGCTTGTCATGGTGGATCAGAAAGACCTTGCCATGGAAATGGCCACTGTGATGGTGATGGTACCCGAGGTGGAGATGGCTCATGTAGCTGTAAGAAGGAGTACACAGGACAGTTTTGTTTGGACTGTTCTAGTGGTTACTTCAGTTCCTTGAGAAACGAGACACATTCTGTTTGTACAGGTAACAAGGTCTTAACACATGCTTATTATCTTCATGTTACTTCTTCAGTTTTTGCAAGCAAAACTAGAAACATTTGAAATTAACAAATGTAGAAACAAAACACAGTTTGGTCAGCTTTAAGCATAAAAGACACATCAGTTACTTTAGTGGAATTCTAATTCTTTGCTAAGTCATCTTTCCACACTGCCCTTGATTTTTAAATTGGGTTTTTTTCTGTTTTAAGAAGAAGAATTCATAAAAATCTTTGCTTATCTTTGCTTCTCTGCTTCCAAAGTACTGTTAAAATCTTGAGCTGAAATTACTACATACTGGACTGCTTTAAAAGCTAGGTTTTCCTCACATCTCAGATAAGCTTAAATGGAAGAAATGGAAGCAGTTGATCTGTACTGCAAACTACTTAGATTCCAGTTAGATATGCCTAAGTTTAATTTTGAAACAAAGTCAGGTCATAGGAATAAAATTTTGCATTGGTCAGATTTTCAATTCTTCTTAGACCCTTGATGAAATTCTGCAAGAGCTGCATCCTGACCCCTGGCGTCTAATAATAAGATTATTTTTAAATAAAGTATATTCTTGTCTATATTAAAAAAAAAAAAAAAAAAAAAACCAAAACCAAACCAAAAAGCAAATATAGTATTTATTTGTGATTTTAGTAACAAATTATAATCTATATTTGGTTTTTTTAATCTGGTTGTGTAGTAATTCTTCTCTATGATTTTTTTAGATGACAATATATAGCATACAAATGTTACATAGGTTGTGTTATATATGCATGTTATATATATGTATACAATATGCATGTACAGCTGGATTTCTAGTATAGTTCCTTCTGAATTCTTCAGAGTTAAATCACTTCATACATTGCTCTCATAGCTAGTTCCAAATGTAAGTTGTGTGAGGATTCATTGGGTAGATTCATTAGGTTGGTTCAGAGTTTGATGTTTAAACTCATGTCCCAGCCTTGAGGAACTGAGCTAAATTTGCCTTCCTGATCTCCTCTTTCCAAATATTTTAGAAATTGGACCTGCCACTTCTAGTCACTAGAATTTCATGGCAGTGTTTTCAGTGGTGCAAATAACTGTAATTGCTAGGTTTGGTTTCTGGTGGTATTTTGGGATATTGCAGTTGTTTTGGTCAGATAGCTGCATGTTTCTAAATTAAATCTTGGTCTTATGGAGGTGCTGTCTTGTGAATGGGAGTTTTTAAGCTACTAAAAAATGATGACTTCCACTGAATCCTAAATAAAGTTTTCTCTGAGAGTTTGTTTGCCCAAACTTGTCTTGGGATCTTTCAACAAAACTCAGGTTGAAGTTTTCTCCTCTCAGCCTGCCATGCTGCCTGTAAGACATGTACTGGTTCAAGTAACATGGACTGCCAGGATTGTAAAGAAGGCTGGATTAAAAATGAAGGTGGAGCTTGTGTGGGTGAGTAATGCTTGGCAGACTTCAAATGGGTTTTGTAGTTACACTGGCTAGTAAGATTAGATGGCATCCCTTCCAAGTTTTATTGTGTTTTATGGAAATTATCTTTCACTTTAGATTTCTACAGTTTTATTAGTCTCTCTCTTCCTAACTTACTTTGTGTTGCAGGAAAGCAGTATTTTCTCACCAATGATTGCCTTCTGACGATAGTTACCTTTATCATACTGTTCTGTATGTCTTTTTAGTTTAATGGGATTCATAGAGCAGCAAGTGGAGTGTTTCTTTTTAGACATGAGTTTTCTTGGTGTTTATTTGTATGCTAAACAATGTTCTGCTCTTGACTTAAGCTATTTGTCAATTAGTGGAAGATTCATATAAACTTTACTACATGTTTTGTACTAATTGTACATTTACCTTCACATAATTTTGTCATAAATGCTCAGCCCTAGTAGAGTTCAAACTCTTCACTAGAAGCCATGCATGCTGCCTTTTCCTGTTGTTGGACAGGAATACCGGGAGACATCAGTGCTTCCATTAATTTCTTACCTGTTTCTATCTTAGCATAAAGCCATGCATGCTGACTTTTCCTGTTGTTGGACAGGAATACCATCAAGATCAGTGCTTCCATTAATTTCTTACCTGTTTCTATCTTAGCATTTAAGTTTGTTTACAAGGAGATAAGTGTGAAATATTTCAGGAAAAATGCAAACACTAAAAATACTCCCAATGCAGGAGTGCACTCGGGGAGAGTAACATGTTCTGTTTAAGTGGTTGAATTTGACCCTTTAAAGACCTCTAACATAATGCCCGGAAACAGTGTCTTAGAAATTATATGAACACTGCTTCCTTTTCAGAGTGCAAGTGAGAGCTGGTTTTGAATTACAGCTCTTGCAATACCTGCTTAGGCAGCTACTGAGCACTCCCAGGGCATTTTTAAGATGCTTTGGTACTCTCTTCTGTACGGCTGAGTTTTTTCCAGATAATTATTGCCACTAATGAACTATAAATCAATTGAGTAATCAGTAGGAATGATGGGTGCAGCAACAGGAGGAGAGTGACAGCAATGACAGGAGGAGAGGGACTGAAATAGCCTTTGTTTGAATTTTTAAATGAAATACTGTGGCACCCTTTCCTCAATATCATAAGACTTGCGTGTTTTAACTCTGCGGTAGAATAGGTTTCCAGCTTGACTCATCTTAATCATGACTTGGTTTGTTCCAATTTGCTTTCTGCAGAATACTAAGAGGGGCACGTATGTGCAGTAGTATAGTTTTTTAGTCATATAAAAAGCTCTGTAACTTGGTAATGTAGGAGTACAGGAGAAAATAGTGTTCCAGAACAGTAGTGTGTCTGCTTGTTTATTATGATATCTGCATAAATGCATGACTTGGAAATGGCAGGGATTGCAGGTATCCTGGAAGTTTATATTGAATTTGATACATTTCTTATTGTCATCACAAAGGATATGAGGATCAGTTTTGATTTTTTAATACAGGTTTAAGCTGAACAAAACAGTGTTTGTTACCATGCTAGTTCTGTGTCTACCATGTTGCATACCTGACCCCAAACTCATTGCAACAAATATTCTCAATGCAGTCAGTTTATAGCATTCAAGTATTAGTGTGTCTATTTAATCATAACTACTATTTTAAGTAACTTGTCACTTTTTATCTTTCAGATTTAGATGAATGTGCTGCTTCTCCTTGCAAAGATCACCAGTATTGTTTGAACACAGATGGATCTTTCTCATGCAAAGGTTTCTTTTCAATCTTCTGTTGTATTGTACTGTCTAGAATCCTTAACTAATGCCAGAGGTAATGCTTAGAAAATGCCTGATAGGTATTTGGTACAGTGTGGTCTGATCCTCACTGGGCACAGGGTGAGGCTTTAGACCCATTATATGAGCAAAACAAGAGATTTCTGGTTATTTCCACTTGGCTTTTGTGAGACCTTCCAGCTCTGGGGCCTCCAACAAAAGCAGGCGTGGACCTGCCTGAGTGGGTCCAGAGGACAGCTGTGAAAATCTTGATCAAGAGGGTCACCTCCCCTATGAGGACGGGCTGAGAGAGCTGGCATTGTCCATTCTTAACAAGAGAAGGCTCCAGAGCCTTTCAGTACCTAAAGAGACCTAAAACAAAGGTGGAGAAGGACTTCTTACAAGGGCATGTAGTGGACAAGACAAGGGGGAATGGATTCAAGGAGAAATAGATTAGATTATATATTAGGAAGAAAATCTTTACTATGAGGGTGTTGAGGCACTGGACCTGAGAAGTTATGAATGCCCTGTCCCTGGATGGGTTCAAAGACCAGTTGGATGGAACTCTGAGCTTCCTGGTCTAGTGAAAGGCATCCAACCTATAGCAGGGGGGGTTGGAGCTAGATGATCTTTAAGGTCAACTTCCAGTCCAAGCCATTCTGTGATTCCTTGTGTGGGTAAGCTGTCTGACTTTAAGGGTAGTATTTTAAACCCCAGATACACGATTTTTTTATGCATAAAATATTTTATTTTTAGCATGTGATGCCAGCTGTGTAGGTTGCACAGGAGAAGGTTCTGAAAAATGTAAGACCTGCGCATCTGGATACGTGAAGGAAGATGAGAAGTGTACAGGTTGGTGGATTTAGCAGCAGCTGGTAGAATGCTGGTTAGCTCACTCTTGGTTAGCCATGCTGAGGAGCTCATAAGTGCATTCACATTTGTGTGCTTCAGCTTTCATGACTGTCAAAGTGAACCCAGTCATTCTGATATTAGGTGCAAAGACATTCTCAATAAATTACTTTATATTTCTGAGCTGATATGCTTGACAAGACTTAAAGTGAATCACTGGTACGAAGGAACAAGGTATTTTATAGTAGCTTCAGGAAACAGCTACATGAGTCTTTTGTCAGTTACTTACCACTTCATCAGATCTGTGTTTCTGTTCATTTTGTAGCAGAAAGGCAGGCATTGTGATAATCCATCAATGTCCAAGTTCAAATTATATTCCTTCTTAGGGAATTATAACGTGAAATTAGACTTCCTCTGTGGGAAAGAACAAGACATATGCATAATCTGAAGTAGCTATTAACTGTGATATTGTGGTATTTACAAGCTCTGTTCCCTTTAGCTATACTTTGATGGCATAAATAGAAAATGACTGTGGAGGAAATGTTCTGTAGGTTAAGATGAATTGCCTAATTATGACAAACATAACTACTTAATACATTTCTCCGTACAGGGACTTGCAAAATATTAAAAAGCAACAGTACTCAGTGTTATATGAATAACTTTGAAATAGTCCAAATCATGAAGAATTAGATTATTTTAACAGATGTTACATCTGTTGCAGCAGCATTCTGCTCCTCAGTGTTTTTCATATTTGAATAGAATTTTGTTTATATGATTGAGCACAAATAAGGTTTATGACAAAATAACAGCAGTGGACTTTTTCTTTCCCTGTGCTGTCTCTAGATATAGATGAATGTAACCTTCCTGAAAAGGTCTGCACGAAAGAGAACCAAGACTGTGTTAATACGTCAGGTAGTTACAAGTGTGTATGTTCAGAAGGGTTTGAAGAGAAGGATGGAACATGTGTTCAAACTGTAAAACCAGGTAAGTAGCTTTTCAGGGACAATTTTAAAAAATATGCTGTATCAACAACTTGGAGTTTTATGTAAGTCTAAGGGTCTAGTTACTTGTAAATCCCTCCACAGTATTTCTCATCTTCACACAGCTGTGATCTGTATCAATAGTTTATAGTGGAGGCCACACTGATGGGTGGTTTTTTGCTTAAACATAGTTTATGTTTTTAAACATTCTCTTCTTGTCTTGCTGCATTTTTGCTTAACTCGAGATTGTGTTTTTTAGTCATTTAAGGATTTGCTTTGTTACATAAAATGAGTTAGCAAATTTCTGCTGTCATAAAAATGAGCTTGTCCTCCCCAGTTCTTTCCTTTATCATTAATTGTAGTGGCTTAAGGGTTTATCTGATTGCATGCAATCTTCAGCTCATTGAAATCTCTGAAAATTACAAATTGAAAAAATAATTACAAATTCTTTTTGCTGGATGAAAAAGCTGAATTTGTTTATTTTGTAATCGTGTAAGTGCCAGAGCTGGTGTTAAGATGAAAATGGGGAAGACATCCATACCTGTCAGTCATAGGGAACTGTTCAGCTTCACTTAAATTATGACTTCAGTCAAAAAATTAAACTATCATTTTTTCTAGGATGTGCTGACCCATATGGACAGAACTACATTCATTAAATGTTCCATTACTCCATCTAGTCTCTTTTACAATTCCAAAGAGAAAAACTCGATTATTTTGCAATAACAGCTGTAGGAGAATAGATGAGAGACACCTAATTTCACACCTCTTCTTTTTGCTTCTTAGCTTGTGTGGGTGATTTTTTTGTCTTCCCATTTCCATGTCCAAGACTGACTTCTTCATCTTTACTAAAAAGTTGTAATGGTGGATGTTGTATTGCTGCTCAAGGCCACTCAGTTCATTCCTTTTACTCTCAGTGCTCTCTGTTAATAGTCCTATAGAACCAGTTATGTACTTCTCTGGTACAGATATGCAGGGTATCAGTTACTACCTTTGTTAATGTGGTCTGATATCTTGAGACTAAAAGTAAAATAAAAGGTTGATAAATTGGCTTAGTTTTTTTTTTTTGTTTAGATGATGCTTTTCACAATATAATGAAATTGCTCTGCTTTTTAAAAAGTTGTTTTAACATCTGATCTGAGCAGTTTGTACTATAAAAACAATTCTGAATAAGACTTGCCCTACTTTTTCAAATACCAAAACTGCTACTGACAGGTTGTGTGGAAAGGAGGAAATTCACTGTGAATAGCTGAAAACGAAAGCCTAGAATAGAAGTGCCTGTGCTGATTTTTTTTTTCCTTCCACTAATAGTATAATACCAATTTATTTGAAAAATTTTGTTTGCCTGTAGTAAAAAAAATAAATACAAGCTTAGGTTGGGAGAATGGTGCAAGTAGGTGTTATATGTGGCTTAATTGTTTCTCTGGTCTTGATAAATATGTTGATTTGGGTTTGTCTTTTAAAAAAATCCTTATTTCAAAAATCACAGTTATATATATAATTAATTATATATGTATAATTGATAGTAGATTTGTATTCTAACTGTGCTATTTAACTTCACAGGAGAAGAAGTAGAGAGTGTAACAACTGAGCCTTCACATACTGAACATGTTGACTTATGATCTGCATTCAGAACCAAAAGACATTCCTATCTAAAGTTTTAAATTATTGGACTAAGCCTCTGCTAGCTGACACACTGTGGAAGTGGTATGAAATATGCAGGTTGCCATTAAGACTTTTTTTTTAAATGGTGACAACCTGCTCTTTAAGCTGCATTTCTTTATTCTTAAATCCCACTTTTTATATAATTCTTCAAAAACAACGTTCTAGATGGGTTAGTATAAAATTTGAATTAGTATAACACTGTACCCAGCAACTGTAAACAACTTGCAGGCTTTTCATTCTAGTGCCTACTGAAAACTGTTATCTTCTGGAAGAATTTAGTTGCACTTCATAATTCAAGGAAAATTTAGACTGAAGTTTGTGGTTTCTAATCATGAGAAATATTTCTGTAATTGAAATACAGCTTTTGGAAATTGTCAAAGGGAATCTCTGTGGTGGGGAGGGAAGCACTGTTCCTTTAAACAAAATAGAATGCCTAATATTGCATTCAATAAAAGTGTATTTTGTTGGAATGTGCCTTAAAATTTTTAAGATGTTAATACCTTCATGTGTTGTCATGCCTGTTTTTCTTTTAAGTCAGTGAAAAAACACCAAAACCATAAAAGGACCACAAACAACCCTCAAAAAACCAAAACCCTAGGACACTGTAAACTGTATTTCAGTTCAGCACTGAATTCAAGCACTCAGTTATATTGGAATATACATGAAATAAAAACCCCAACCCAACAACATCCTCTCTCTCACACACACTTTCCTCTAAAGGAAGAATGATGTCAACTTAACTTTTCAAAGGCAGGTAAACAGGTCTTTCTGACAGATACTTGCATCAACTGTGTAAATAGTTTAGAAGGTGATGAAAAGTAGGTTTGGCTAACACGTGCCTGCAAAGGCTCATAGTTATTATGAGTGCTCTCTATAATTGATGAATACAGGACTTTCACTACAACCTACTGCTCTGTGTAATTGCTTCCAGGCTACTGCAGAGCAAGCTTACTACAATCAATTTTTCGTTTTGTCTCTTGTGCCATTTCAGAGGGAAAGCTTATAAGAACAGCATAGATAACAACTTCCTATATGTTGTCTCTAAGCTTAAAGGCAAGTATAAGAGCTAAAATGGATATATCCTATAGGACTGTCACAGCTGTAAATAAAATAAGGACCATCCAGATACAGTCTCTGGTGGAATTGAGTAAAGTTTAGAATACATTGTGATAGTGGATACAAGGGGTTGTAGAATACAGCTAAGAGCACAGTTTAGGTTTGACTATGAAGAAGTTACAAACTTTGAGGTAAGGGGACACAAATAGGCTATTTATAGGATTGACCTATTCTGTTGAGCAGTAAAGATCAGACATCTTCTATATATTTCTGAAGACTTCTGTTCAAGCTAAATCTCAGTTCAGTTTGTGAACAGTGCATGGAGGATTTGTATGTGTGATAGACACCTCGGTGAATATTGTACAAAATCTGATTATGTTGGATTCTTATGTTAAAAGATGTCTAAGCTGATCTTGTGCAGGGTAGTTTAAATACCTAGTGGTATTAAGGTATCTGTAACAGTTTTCTTTAACTGTTCTATCTAGATGTTTCTTAACTTGCCAGTCAGAGTGAAATCTTCAGTGCTTTCTCAGCTGTAATTGTCTAAGGTGGGCCTATTTGCCACAAAATCATGCAAGTTGAAGGGTATTAAATGAGTACTAAATCAAAGGGAGGAAAAAATAGGCAGTTTGGGAAGCACATGGAATACAACTCCAGGATCGTTAGGGTTTTTTAGTACAGGTGTAGCCTGTTACAGTAGTATTAGCCCCTAAGGATCCTGCAGGAGTAAAGCTTGTCTGTTACTCACATTTAACTCACAGGTGTTGCAGGTTGTGGTATGAATGGTCGTTAATCATAACAGGAAATGTTATTTTAGAAACTGCCATCAGCTCACACTCAAGGGAATTGTCAGTCCAGTACAAACTCTTCTATTACAGTTCTAAGCCTGAAATAATGCTTCCCTATGAAGAACTTGCTACTCTTAAGTACCTTTCAACTTGGGACTCTGGGGGATACCTAATGAGGTTCTTAACTACATTGTGGAAGCATTTGCTTCCCACCTGCCAAAGCTTTGGACAGAAAGCCTTAACTAAATTGTCTTTGTTAAGCCCAAGTCTGAGATGAACAGATTAAAACCAAAAATTTCAAAATTTTGTTTTTCGGTGGTGATAAAGAGGAGAAATTCTTCCTTGCCTGACCTGCAAAAGTAATGAGTAGTCTTATACAGCCAGACTGTTTTTCAGCTCTGTAGAAAAATGCTTTCAGCTTTTCATTACTAGCAGAGTAGAACCATTAATCAGAGTGTTCCCTACAAAACATACAGATGTAGTATCTGGGTATTAGGAGTCACTAATATTCTATTTTCCTTAATTCTCCCATTCTCCTGCCACCAAATATAGGCACATATTGCTCTGCATTAAATTATTGTGGGGTCCAGAAAGGTGAATTCAAATATTTAGAGTTTTCACTGAAGGAATATAGGCCAAGGTATGTATGTGACAAATATTTAGTACTATGCTGCTGTCTTCTGCCCTTTTGATGCTGAGTTTTGAAAGAGTTAGTTCCCTTGTTTTGTTAGGTATTTTTATTTTACTTCTTCAAACTGTAACTACTGCTCCATTTTAAAGTTGAAACATTTTTTTTTACTAAACTTCATCTTTTTTCCCCTCTCTTCCTTGAATACAGTGGGGATTGGATTCTGAGTTGTCTTGGGTTTTGCCCTTTATAATCAGAATGGAAGGGGTGGAAGAGTAGGATTTCACCTGATTATCAGAAACTGGCCATGCAGGTAAAGTGCATTTTGTTAACTAAGCCAGTCCGGACTACCAATGCTTTCTACTGTGCTAGAAAGCTACAATGCTTTCTACCAATGCTAACATTTTCATGCTAAAAGAAAGCTGTTTCCATTAAATGTTTTATTGCATTGTAAGGACATTGGTTATGTGGTACAAGAGTTAGGACTTAGGGTTGTCTGGAAGTAGAGAGCTCATGTCCAACTATGCAAGTATGTTGGTAAATACTTCAGAAGTGATTTGAGATTATCCAAGAAACAAGATTTGTGCCTCAGTGAAGTGTTGGCTACGTACTTTGGTCATTCGTACCAAGGTGAACTTCTAGACCCAGACCTAAGATTTATTTTGTAAACTTCATACTGTGGTATCAAACTGGAAACAGCATCCCTTTTCCTACTACTTTGGAGTTTCTTGACCTAAAATTAAGTGGTTGCAGCATCCCTTTTCCTAGATTGTTTTGCTACTACTTTGGAGTTTCTTGACCTAAAATTAAGTGGTTTTTTGTTTTTTTTGACATAGGAAATAGTACTCAACAATGTATCTAAGCACTTGAAAGGACAAGATTTCTTATATGTGATAGCTGGACTCCACAGAAGGTCCAGAAATACTTTCCAGGAGCAAGCAAACTTAGAGACCTTCATGTTTCAATTAAGGCTCTAAATAAGACCAGGAAAGCAGTCTCAAGTATGCAGCATCCATATGATAATCCTGCAGTGCCTAAACTTGGAAGTCAATGTATGTGCTGAAATGTTTTCAGCTAAACATTAGTACATAATACTGAATATTTTCTTTTATGTGAATTCCTAACATTTCTGTAATAGACACTGAGTTTCTCTTCAAAGTGTAACACTATCCATTCCTAAATAGGGCAAATGAATTCTCTTTTGCAGAACACCTTGATGATTTAGGTAATTCAGGGAGTCAGTGATCACCTGAAAGGGTTCAAATCATAATCTTCTTTCTCAGGAAAGGTGTCAAAGTCTGTAAGTTATATACAAGATCAGGACATGTGACTGTAAAATATATGGGATATACTGTACAAACACAGGACTTGTTATGGAGGATGAGGACTGATCATACATCATCCTAACGTCTATGGGAGAGGTACTGTTCAGTCAGGCAATTGTCAGTTAAGTGTCAAACAATGACATTTGCAACTTGCAAAAACACCAAGAATTGTGAAAATCACCAAATCATACTCCTAGCATAAAGTTCTTGGTGTATATGGCACTATGTGGATATATGGACACAATTCTCCCTGATGAACAGGGTGCACCCTGCCCTTCAGGTTACTTTCAGATCATTCTTAATACTGCACAAATTTAGGCACACAAATAATTCAAATTGCCTTAACAAGTGACTAACCAAAAAAAAAAAATGTGTTGAGAGAAATATAAACAACAAAACCCTCAGCAACAAAATAAAAGCTTTAAAAAATCCAAGAAGTCCTGGATCATATGTAGCAATAATATAAAGGACAGTTGTCATAATGGTCCTAGCTGACCTCCTGATACCCCTCCCTGTCCTGTCTGTCAGACTGCTATGGATTGTTGCCTAAGATTGTATTTTATCTGTTCTGAAAGGAATTTTCTGAGGTTATTCAAAGCAACTTCCTGTGTTTTTTTTTTTTTTTTTTTTGCCTTCCTTGCATCAAAATGGAATTTTTCTCATCCCTTTCAGCAGCTTCACACCTTGTCTAATTTCATGGTTTCATTTGCTGTAGACATGCCTATAGCAGCCCTTAGTACTCTTCAAATCCCTTGCCAGCTCTTCTCCAAGCAGGCTTTGGCTTTCTTGATTCCATTCCTTCATGCTAAGACAGTGGTTCTGTATTCCTTCTGGGTCACTTGCCACTGTTTCCACCTTGTGTGTTCCTTTTAATGACTTTAGTCAGGAGCTCGTTGTTCATTCTTGTCAGCTTCGCAGCTTACTGCCACCTTTGCTTGATTTCCCACACATCAGGATTGGAGAAAGTGATCACTGAAAATCAATCAACAGCCTTGGACCCTCCTGACTAGGGCTGTCTGCCTTAGCTTTCTTCTCATGCTGTGCCTGAACTGCCCAGGTCTACCCTTCTGATATAAAGGGTTATGGTCCTGCTACTGCTTTCAGGGCAAAATAGTACTTGGTTACATTTCTTGTTCTACTGCTGAGGTAAAAATATTGTCTTAATGGTGGTTTTTTTTTAATTGAATCCAGCCCTTCTTATTCAGTCTTAGTCAATGGGGTGACTGTAGGCTCTTTGGGAGTAAGGGTCATCTTTTTTATGTTAGGCATATGCCCTAATCCTCACTTGTCCCCCAGTTTGCATCACAGTGTTTGATGTGTAGGATTCACATCTAGCACTGCATCCACCAGTGCAGAAACTGCATGAGCAGTAGCTGGAAAGTTGTGCAGCTAGAAGAATGTATTTCTGTTGCTGAGTTCTGTATTTACAGTGCACAAAAAATCCATAAGGGAAGAAAAAAAGACGACAATTGGATCTTTAAATACTTATTGGGGCTGCTATGTCAGTGTTTTTAAGCATATTGAGAAATTATGGATACTTTGGTAGTGGTGCTTCATGTTTTGCAAATTGTGATGTCCTCATAGTGTATCATTTTGGAAGATGATGTACTCAGTAACTTCATAAATCTTTCTGTATCTCTGGGGGAGTTTTGATAAATGTCATACTTGGACTAGGCAAATTTATCTTCCTTGAGGAAAAAAGAAAAAGCTCCTTAAATAAAATGAGGTCTAGTTCACACTGATTTTTTCAGTGGGTTCTAGGAATTTGGTCCAGTTCCTGTTATTCTTTCCTATTCTGAGTACCTGTAAGAAACTCTCTGTAATTAAAAACAAAAAAACATTGATTTTCTTTAGTATTTCTTAGTTTTAAAAAAAGTTTGATTTATTTTTGTTTTTTAATGACAGGGAGGAAGAACTAATACATACTTTAAAACTGAGAAATAAAATGTCCTACTTATTCGGGGGTTTTTGTTTTGTTTTCTTGGGTTTTTTTTGTTCTTTGGGGGTTTTTGTTTTGTTTTGCTTTTTGTTTTTTCTTGATAGATAAAAATGGCTGCTCAAAAAAGGGATGTGTGAATAAATTAGTCAGTATTCTAACAAGTGAGACCTTGTGGGTCATCTTACTCTTCCTTGCCAGTGTGGAATTATTCTCTCTGTGCCGTTTGGAAATGCAGTATCTAATTTAAAAATTGCTGAGGTAATGTATTTTCATTATTCCACATTATTTTATCTATCAGAATATATTATAATTTTATAGTAATCCTTTTTAATGACCAGCACAATAAACAACAACTCTCCCGCATGCAGCTGTGATTATGCCTCATTTGTTTGAGGTAATGCGCAGACACAAAAGGTAGGTCTGTATAAGATTTTTGCTGTGCAAAAGGTGGAAGAGGAACCTGTTCAGGGAACTGAGACTCATCTTTGACCTTTAGCATAAAAAATATGCAGCCATTTAGTTGGTTTTCAATTTTTTTGTTTATTTTTTTTGTTTGGTTTTTCTGGTTGTTTTTGTTTGTTTACTTATGGGGTTTTTTTGTTTGGTTTGTTTGGTTTGGTTTTTTTTTTTTTGTTTCTGGAATAAGCAGTGTCACATTTTCAATCACTAAAGCAAAGAAGACCAGAAGCTACCACCAGAAAGGAATGGTGTGTTATCCACCTTCAGTGGCAATCTCTTGAAGCTCTTTAATAATGTGGCCAAGAACCTGGACTGAAGCAGCAGCTTCTTAGTATTTAGGTTAGGAAATAAAGAATTGTCTCTACTCCATTTTTTTCATTTACTCATCTACACATCAAAATGCTTATATTTATAAAGGAACACTTTTATAGGTAGGTATATATAGACCTGTGTGCCATAGATAAACAACTGCCCCTCGAAGTACTTAATAACTTTTAATTTCTTTTTTCGTTATGCATCATAGGATATGCAGTGATTAAAAACAATTCTTCTTACCTGATGTCAACTTCTGCAGCAAGAAATTTTATTGCAGTGTGAGCTGTAGAAGCTGGGTAAACTCTTCCCAAGAGCTTGCAAGGGAGAAAAGATGAGTCATTAAGACACGAGCTGTTTTGTCTTTTGGAACATAGTTCTGTTATCAATTGATTGCACACTGTTCATGTTCAAAACAAACAGAGTGTCCCTAGAATAAGTTTTGGTTTAGGCTAAAGCACTTCACACAGATGGTGCTTTACAGGCTATTTGACAAGACAGTCATTCTAATGGGACATCTCTGGAACTCCAGTTGTTTGGGAAAGAGCTCTGCGGTGGCCTGCGGTGCAATGTTGCTTCAGGCATTCCCTTTGTGGTGATAAATGCCACAGCACAGCTGTTTGTCCCGTGCAGAGATGCACAGCTGTGCTGCTCGAAAAGGAGTTTCTCTCTGCCACGCCATTTCAGTATATTGTGCTGCAGATTTTCACAACTTCAGTGTTAAGCCAGCAGAGGGTACTCTTAAGCTTCCAAGAATAGGTTTCATGGGATGCCTCAGGAGGTTACTGCCTCAGAGTTACTGTGCTGAGGGGAGGGGCTGAAAATGTGAGCTCTTAATTATGGGCCTCATTGTATTTAAGTAAACGTGTTGAATAGGCCACATACTTTGTTGAATAAACCTACACTGCTGTTTTTCCAAAAGCACAGCAAACCAAGATCTTGTCAGTATAATACAGTCTTAAAACCAGGGAAATTCAGGCTTGAAGGCACTCCAGCTTGTTTCTCATCCAAACCAGTGGTGAGGCAGGGTTGCTGTGAGAGCTGAGTAGTTGCCTTACCCACTTTTGAGAGCCCATAAAGATGTAGACTGCATGTCCTCTTTTGGCAGCTGTTTCACAGGCAAAATGTTCATCTGTGTGTTCAGGCTGAATTTGCTGTGTTCCACCTTACACCTACTGTTTATCATCCTCTTTCCATGCACTGCTGTGAGTCCTTCATCTAGTGGCTCTGCTCCTTCTAATGCATCCAAGAAGGCTGCTGGTCATCTCTGCTGCCAGGGCACTGCTGGCTCACATTCATCTCCCTGCCCACTCAACCCCCGGGCTTTTTTACACAGAGTTGCTCTCCAGGTCTCAGTCCCCAGATGGTGTCACTCCAAGAGGATCTTCCTTCCAAAGTGCAGCAATTCAGGCTTGTCATTTTTGAGTTTCATAAGGCACTGTCAGTCCATTCCTCCATCTCAGCTAGATCCCATTTTTCTATTAATTCTTACATTTACACTCCATTTTCATCAAATCAACAGTTCTGCTGCCTTTAATTGAATTAATTTACTAGCATCATGTAGGAAGCTTAAAAGTTTGTAGGCTTGTGGATTACAGATTTGTACACAATGTTACTACAAGTTAAACTACAAAATTACATCATGGATTTCTAGTCTATTCAGAAAATAACAGAGGAACAGAGTTTTATCTTTTCTTTGAAAAATAATATGTCAAGAAGAAAAATAGTCTTTCATATATAACATATATCTCTTGTGTGATATGATAGTCAAGGTACAAGGCACAAACGCACTTTTAACATGACAGAGTGATGAAAACCTTACTTATAAGTATTACTTTTATATTTTTAAAGGCTCATAATCTTTCTCTAAAAATCAAATCTATTTATGTCATTACTCATGTGTAGAAACAGAGATTATTAAAGCACAACTGTTGCTCCCTTGCTGTTCTTCAGTCTTCTTCTCTGCCAGCAGTTACTCCTGCTGTCTACAGCTGTATGTTTTCTGCAGATCAGAAGCATAGCAATGAGGCAGCAAGAAACACCTGGGACCTTTTCAGAATTCTTGCTGGAGCATCTGGAGCTCCAGGATTGTCAGAGGACTGAAACTAATGGAACCACTTTCATGACCAATCTGCAACCTGGCACCACATGAGCCGGACGAGTTGATGAAAGCTGGTGACTCATTAGGGGCAGTATAGCAGTGTTTTGTACAAGACCTTACACCTTACACTAAAGTCAATTAAATTCTACCCATTTCTTCCCAAAACCTTGTGGAAATGTACAGGGTCAGCAAAAAATGTTTGGTTTTGTGAAGGTCACAGTAGAGAATGGGTAGAATTAAATTCTACCCATTTCTTCCCAAAACCTTGTGGAAATGTACAGGGTCAGCAAAAAAATGTATGGTTTTGTGAAGGTCACAGTCTAGTGTACTTCTCCTTTCATTTCATTTTTATGATTTCGTGGTTGGAAAAAATAAGAGATTAGCAAACAGGAAATTAGGTGCTGGAATATGTATAGACCAGACAGTTACCATTCTTGTTACCTGAAGAAAGGTGACGTTAGTCTTCTGTTACTTGTTTCATTTTAAGGTTATGAATAATCTCAGTCTGTAACTGATGGATTTAAATTGTAATAGGAAAGGGTTCAGCATCAGCCTGGAGGATTCAAGGTACTGCAGTACTGCAGAGACAGAGGCCTGCATATGGCTGAAATGTTTCCATCTAAGGCAAGGGTCAACAACATAAAGTGACAGAATTGGGGGAGAGGTCATCCCTTCAGATGCAATATTTTCTAGCTGCCTCTGAGCTCCTTCAAGTGCACTTAGCCTCTAGTTGGAGAAAAAAAGTAGTCTGGCACACTGCACTTGAAAAGATGCTGACCCCTGTTCTACATCTCACACTTCCACGGGAAAACATCCATGGTTGTTGAATTTAGCTATATCAGAGCATGTGTTTCAAATCCTGTAAACTTATGTGTCCATTAACAGCAATTTAAAAACCTGCCAGCTTTCATAGAATTCTATAAACAAGAATATGTAGTACTTCTAAAGAGTTAGCTGCTATTACTCTGAAAATAGTCTGATATTTACCAGGGAAAGCATCACCAGTGGAGGTACATGCTCCATATTGGCCTGCATTCTGTATTGTAATAATATTTGGACTTCCCTCAATATGAAGTAAGAACACAGTGTTTATATGAGTTAGAAGCACTGTACTGGAAAGAAGCAGCTATATGAGTTAATGTTCTTTGAATAGCAGTTGAATAAACTTTCATGGGAAATTTGTTTATTTCTGAACTTAAAAATGGTTCCAGGAAATACTCATGCTGTGACAAAAGGTTTCACTGTTCTTTGGAATAGACAGGAATTTTATCACAGGATCATGGCCTTCTGAGGTTACCAGTTAAAAAATGGGCAGGCAACACTTCTTGAGTCCTTGTATTTACAAATATAAAGAAGGAGGAGAAAAATCATAATTCTGCAAACTAATCATGACAACTGTGTTTAAAGAAATACAGCAAAGCCTGTATTTAAGAAAATACAGGAAAGCCTTAAACCCTTTACAATTCCTAGTAGTAGGTTGAAGGAAGAGATTATGGGAATTTGTTAAAATAAGAAGTTGTGGGAAACAGTGAGTTTTGTTGTTGCTAATATCTCTTCTTTAAATCCTGCCATCCTCTATGAATAAGCAGCAAGCAGAAGATTTTTACCAAAGCATCCAAACTAGGTGAGCTTCAACAATACTTTTTTTAAAAAAACTCAATAGAACTATATGAAAAAATAGATGTGATGACACATAGAACAAAATACAGAACCTTCTGAAAACCAGGATAGTCCAGAATATATGGTAAAGGTGGCACCAGTGAAGTGGAATGAACAGGCCCTTGCCACCAAAATCACTCCAGTAGCACACTGACATTTTACTTTAGTTCTTCCACAGGAAGAGCTGTGGAACATGTCTCCAAAGCTTTTTGACTGACACCTGTCAGCAAGGACAGATGACTGATGAGTGCAATGGCAGCACACCAAGGCATCAGTCAGTTGCATCCTGCAAGATTTCAACAAAGATTGCTCTGAGTTTCTCCAGGTCCACCTTTGAAGTACCTTTTTTAAAGTGTAGGAAGTTCAGATAACACATCCATAAACAAATCCATGGTGGAGTGCAGAGAGGGATGAGATTCCTGAGTTCTAGATGTAGCTTTCCTGTAAATTATTAGTGTGATTTTTGGATCGTTTTCTTCATTGAGCTTTATCCTTTGGACAGGCCTGTAGTTAATAAACTGGCCTGGGCAATGTTATCCCAGTGTGAGGTAGGAGAGCACATCCTTTAATGCAGAGGGTGGAATCTCTCTGGTGCCTCTCATTAAATTTGACGGCCAGACAGGAATTAAAAACATTGACCTTAGTTAGGAAATTTAGTGGACTAAGTGGCCACCCATAGTCTTTGTTACTCAAGGCATCTGTAGGTTATCTGACTTGCCCTGGAGAACCTGACAAGCCTGTGGCAGCCTGGGCTTTGGATGAACTCAGTGGTATCTGGTGCAAACCAAACATCTCTAGTGAACACAGGGATCATAGTGATTTTGTGCTTTCTAATGTTTCTGTGAAATTTGTATCACCACAGAAGTGGGAGAACCACTCAAAAACTCCAGTGTGAAGTGTCCAGAATGGTGAAATAACTCCAGGCTTTGGACTGTGGAGCATAACACATATCAGTTCAAACAAATCCAAGAATTAATGTAAACTTTGTAAGGACAGGCAGCTGCAATTTTGGCCAGAATTCAAGGAAAATAACAGGCAGGGGGAAAAAAAAGTTGGTTTTGATTATATGAGGTTTGGTTATGTAGTCATAATTGGAATTTGGATGGCCTCTTATTCAGGGAATAAGTGCTGCTGTATGCCCACAGCAAGAGCAAAATAGATCAACAGAGAAAATTATAAAATGCAACATGACAAATGCATATTGTCTCAATCTCTTCTTTTTTCCAAATGCATTTTTTTTCCCTTTATTTTACCTAAAAAGTACCAATTCTAAGAAAAAAATAAAGCTTTTTAGAGGATGGCAATGACAGCAGGACAAAATGTTCTTTCTTCTTCACAGAGCCAACTTTTCTTATGAGGACCTGTTAAGAAATGCTAAACTTTATCAAACTTCTTCAAACTCTCATTCTTCCATTGCTATTGATGTATCTTGTGCTGACAAGTCATGAACGATTTTCTAGACTACTTGTTTCTACTGCTAGCAGGAGTCACCACATATTTTCCCACATAAAAGCTCTTAGATACAGTGACTAGTGTTTAAAATAGAAATTGATTTCCAGAATTGATATTTTAGTGGAAATAAATGAAACCAGACAAATGAAATTATTATTATTTTCCAGCTGCAAACACAGCTTACGTTATTATATTTAGATGGCCTTCTCCAGCTTCAAAGTTAGTGGCAAACATTTAGCTAATTAATAAAGTTGTGCATGCAGGCAGGGAGAAGTTCAAGAATGCCTTCCAACACTGAACATATTTTGGAGATGGCAGATCATACTGATGAAGCCATGCTGAGGATCATTTTTTTCTGGTTAACTCCTTGGCTTTCTCTGCCCCTCCCTTCCCCACCTGCTGCATTCCTCCCCACTCCCTTGGTTTTATCTGCTGCCAGTCTCCTTCCTCAGACCACAGCTGTCCAAAGGCCTTTGCTTGCTGCTTGCTTTTTTCCTACACTTAGTGTTGTTTTTCCTCACTTCTGTTGGTGTCTAAAGAGAGAGATGGGATGCTTCCCCTTGCCAATAAAAACTGGGGTGATCCACAGTGATTCAGCACCTCTGAAGGGATGCAATTAGTCAGCCAACCCTGTCACTTGGGGGTATCACTCAAGTCAGTTGTTACCATTGCTGTGAGTCAGTGGGAGACTTACCCACAGTTTTTATCTGGAGCATGGCTGAGACATTAGAACACTGAAAATGAATGAGTGAAAACAGAAAACTTTCTGCCAATGTTTTAAAGAGGTCTCTTGCAAGGAGAATACCCTAGTCATTGGGTGGGTACCACCTCTTTTTATTTGAGTCAATGAGCTTTCAGAAAGGAACAAAAGTTCAAAAGAGAAGAAAGATAAATTCATTCTGTCTGAATACTTGAATTAGAGAACTAGACAATGGCATGACAGATAAAACATTATTTAATCTGGCTCTCTTGCAAAGAGAAATCTCAGCTCCAAAGATACACAAGAGTAGAGGCTAAACAGAGGGATAAATTGAATAGCAGATGGGTTTGCTTGCTCACATGTAAGCAAAACAAAACACCTTTATAAGCTTGTCCCTCACATGGGAATTTCTTGCAAATAAGGACTGAATGTGGGCAGAGCAGCAATTTGGGTGACACTGGTAGCTGCATCTCTGGGCCTACACTCAGAGCACTGCACTGGGCTGGAGTGGCTGAAAATCTCTTGGTACAGTGCCAGTCCACAGTAGGTGCTTCACATAGATATCACAAGTTGTTTATTATGACTGCAGATTTCTCTTCAAGGGGTAAGCAGTACTGAGTGGGGCTGGCAACGTGTTTGTATACCTTTACCAAAGCCTGGTTATCTGCTGAGTAAAACTGCAAGTAGAAATATTTATGAAACAGTTGCCCAAGTAAAACACAGATAATATTTCTGAACAGAAAAGCTAGCACCCCACGTGAAGAAAATGCTGCTGCCTTGACGATGATTCTTGCTTCAATGTGTCAGGAGACTTAATGCAAAGTCAGACTATTATATACCCAGTGAAGCTGAGAAACAATATCACTCAGCAAACAAAGTCAGTCCCTCCTGGTTTAGGAATTAATAGTCTTTTGTCCTGCAGGGAGGCTTAATTTGGCTTGAATTAGCAGAAATGTCATTGTAATGGGTATGCAATGATGGAAATCAAGTCTGCCTCTGAAGTGCTGCACCACTTTGAATGCAGGTTATCACAGACTAAGGATACAAATGAGGCTTGGATGCAAAAGTACTGACTTCAGAATTAGCATACATTTTTCAAGGCAGATCTGCATTGCAGTTACACCAAGGAAAAAATCAGAAAAATGTGTCCTTTTTTAATTGGAAAAAGTTTTTCTGACACTCTGAATGCCCCTCAGGCAACTGACAGACATATTTCATAACACCTATTTTATCACATTGATAAAAATTTATGCTTGCAGAAGTTTTATGGTTCATAGCAATGATAATTAATCCCAAATCACATCAGTTGTTTAGTAGTTTCAGTGTTGTGCTATGTTATTAATAAATAACATGCCATTTCTCCACAGTGAAGCTTCTCATGCAAGGAGTATATTTTCAATACAAGATTCTATTGTTATAGTGGTTGAGTATGCCAATTCAGTAAACAGTATTGTTAATTTTCCATTATTATTAATGAAATAATTTTCTATTCAATTATCAATGGTAATAATTTTCTCTGAGAGTCTGCTTTCTGGACCAGATTTGTAATTTCTCCAAAACCAACAAAAATGTAATTACAATAGGATATTTTATTATAAAATATTAAATGCGTTAAGTAGCTTTTGGGATCAGACCTATATGTTGCAATTAAATTATTTGGTATTTTTGATAACATCTGCTTAATATCTTCCAAATCTTCTGAAAAAAAAAAAAAAGCATTAATTTTCTTTGTTCAGCTTTGTGTATACAAAATTTGTAGTACCCAGCAGTGATGGCTTTTAGGGCTACTTAGGAATTATCTGTTCCTCTACCAAGTCTCTCCAAAAAGGCTTGAAGTGTTGTTGTCCTATCTAGTTTACATCTTGGGTGCGTTGTGTGATAAGCTGCCCACTGCCATAGCCCACATCCATCCTGCCAGGGCTGTTTAAAAGGGTCAAGAGGTGCCCTGGGACTCCTCAGTGTAGATGTGTTGACTTTGGATCAGCACTTGTGTTTGGCATTGACCCATCTGCACACTGGGCTCCCTTCAGAGCAGCAGCATGGGGACCTCAAGCCAGCTTTGTTTGTGCACAGCAGCTGAGTTTGAGAAATTTTCCCCTGGGTGTTTGTGGACCTCATTCAAAACAAAAAACCTTTGGGCTCAGAAGCTCTAGGCAGTTCTGTTGTCTGTGTTGCACTTAGCTCAGGATGTAGGTGTTGATTTACCCATCATGGCAGACAGTGATTCCCTTTGCACAGAAACCACCAAAATTGGATTAATACAGCATAGCAGCAGGAGGAGTTTGTTCCTTAATTAGAAACATAACTCTTATTTAGCAGGTCTTGCCCTGCTGAGTTAGAAGTAACCTATGTGCTGTTATAAACCCTGTTAGGAGCCACTTTGACCTCTGGCTGGGCTAAAGGTGATGGGAGAAGCACATCACTGTTCTCCACATGCTCCCCTCTGCAGAAAGTCTGCCCACTCCTTACTCATGGCGAGTGGAACATTTCCTCACAAGGCCCTTGATGAGTCAGCCAAACCCCATAAATGGCCCCCACCCACACAAGCATCTTCAGTCAGAAATAGACCTCTGTATTACAGAGCTGTTTTACAGGGTAGATTTAGGAATAGTTTAACCAATAAAAACCACCTGTGAAGTGTTGGAGACTCATTGCTTATACCGAATCAGAGCAGGAAATTACTTTCTTCTCAGGATACTCTCCTCTCCTGCACTTACAACTAGGCAAAGCTATGGTAGGTGTGTCTGTTCAGTGAGACAAGAAATTGTTGAAATTACAGGAGAAAAGGAAATGTTTAGTTTTCTTAGAATTCAGAGTAAATAAACTACACTGGAAAAAATGCAGTGTTCTTGTCATCCAGCACTTGCTGAGTGTTCATTAAAGAAAAAAAGAACAGAAAGAAAAGCATCCAAAAACCACACAGATTTTTGCAGAATACACCAATTCATTAAATGTAACCCACAAAAGTAACTGAAGCCACCTGTTTCCACTTCCTCCCTAAGAAAGGGAGATCTGCATTGAATGAAACACGGAGCAGTGAGTGCAGCAAAGCCTGCTGATGACTCTCAGCAAATGAGTTGGACAAAATATTTTTAGCAGGAAATGGCATATCCCTCTCTTTTTGACTTTGAATCCAAGCATTTGTGTTCATTATCTTTTGTATAACTTCAGCCTGCCAGATGATAAGACTCACCTACTGCAACCTGGCGCCAGATTATCTGCACTGTAGAATTTTGTTAGGTTTTAGGATTCCTTCCAGGCTTTATATTAATGGGGCTGTGTTTGGTTTGGAATCTAATGATGAAAATGGTCATGGGTTGTCACTGAAAGCTCAAAATAAATTTCATTCTCACTTCAGCTAAGGAGGTAATGACCATGACAAGAACTTTACTTTCTCGTGGTCTCCTGCTTAGGTACAAGCTTAATACTGTTACAAGCTGTTAAATGGTGCTTTACCTTGTGAGTGCCCCATCAGTGCTTGTTGATCTCATCTGTACTGACTGGGTAATTAGTGCCTCTGGTCAGCAGATGATGCATTCATTCTCTGTCTTCTCTCTTGCTGACTGATACTGAGGTGTTTTGAAACTTTATTCTCCTCACATCCTTTAAAACACTATAAAGAACATTTTCAGGTAATTAATAGGTAGCTGTCGTTATTACTGCTGTCTTTAGCAAGATGATTCAAACACTAGTTTTCATAAATGCCAGGTTCTGATGTTGTACATCACAGCCTTTGCCTTACATACATAGATGTCTCTGATAGGGTGCTCCTAAAGCTGCAGATGATTCTTGCCCTAGTATTTGAAACCACTATGTCTCCAAATATCGAGACCTCATAACTTATAACATTTATACTTTGTTGTTTTAATTAACCTAATGAAATAGAATAAGTAAAAGAAATACATAAAACCCCTTTTTATTGCAATTGGGCAGATCATTAACTGGCTAAACTGCAGCAAAGTAGCGCCAGTTTACAGCATGAGACCTTTAGACGCTGAAGAAATTACCTGTGAGAAAGCTTTATGTATGTATGTAATTGTTTACATTATGTATGTAATTATTTGCTGTACAATAGTTGCTAATTGATCATTCAAAAATAATGATTCACAATTTAGAAATCATCAAAAATGTTACACATTCTTACTTCTTGATCTTTCCTTTTGACATCCTTTGATTGACATTCATGTTGTCATTCTGAAGCATGCATAGTTACATAAGCATTAATGTTACAAAATCTGCTATTTATATCTGCTTTAAAACCAGAGCTATCCCTGTTTCTTCATAACTGTGGCACTGGAGCCTGTTGTACTGGATGGTGGAATGAGTTTGTGATTTGATTCCCCACAGATGGTTTCCCTTCAGTCCTCCTGGAACATCCAGGTGACTCCACAGTGAGCACGGCCAGCACAGCTATGCAGGGTGTGTTTGTTTGGTGGCTCTGTGCAGTTCTGGTCAGGTTTCCCTGGGGGGACAAAGCAGTTCAGCAACAACAGTGAAATGACATATGCTTGAACTAGGAGCACATGGCACCGGTAAAACTTCCATTCTTAGTGGTTTGGCAGTGGATCATTTGGGAATTAGGGATGAAAGCAACAGATGTTATGCATTCAAGCACCTGGATAAAGAAATGAAACTACATCTATTAAGCAAAAGGGTGAAACTTGCATTTGTCTGTGATGTCCCATTCTAGTCAGATAAGGTACTGTTTGTTTTTAAATGGAAATATGGCTTGGCATAACATGACAAAACATAAAGGCCCTTGTAGCCACGTTACATCTGGGTCAGATGTATTTGATGTTCTTACTTTGATCTCCTGTCTAATCAGTGTGTTTTCAGCTTAGATCTGGAATCCATGTCTCTTGTAAACATGAACAATTCCCAGACCTTTTGATCTGCAAAATGACTCATTCTTCCACAACTCTACTCCAGGACAGCAGAGAGGAGTGATTCCTCTTCATAGGGGTTCTTTGGCAGGCTCCCCTGAGACATATAAAACTCTCTCCTAGTAAAACTTGAGAGGCTAAACAAGGTCTCTACTGGAACTCTAGGAGCTTGTTCTTTGATATTCTTCTCCTCTCCTTCCTCAGGACTTAAAAACTTGGATAAAGTTTGCTATGATATCTGGATTAATTTAGTACATTACCTGGAATTTGTTGTATAAGGAATCTGGGACTGTAAAATAAGAAAGGAGATAATGGATAGTAGATAGGCTGATGAATTCTGAAGGAAGCAAACAGAGGGTAAGAAAGTGCAAGAGTATGAAAGTGCAAGATAAGTTTGGACAGAGGGAGAACAGAGACAGCAGAACCAAGGCAGAAGGTGAAACTCTGAGATGGGCTAAGCAAGGGCACAAGGGGAAGGGACTTGGGTGCCCCCAGACAGGGTGCTGCAACTGGCTGAGGAGTTTGGAGAAGAAATTAGAAATCTGTACTGCTGGGATCCAGACCTGTGGGTAGAGACGAGTGATGGGAGGTTGGTGAGAGTGGAGCCAGGCTTCCTCAATGGGCCAAGGCAGGGGTAACTCAACCCATTACTGCCCAGCCATCTAGGAGGGAGAGCAGGACCAGCCCAGGGGGAAACGAGGAACAAACTTCAGAGGCAGGGATGTGGAAAAGACAAGACTGAGGTAAGCCCAGATGGACAGGGAGCCCTAGCAAAAATGGGTGAGAAGTGATGACCACTAAAAACATTCTTCATCATGTGGCTACCCTCCTGACCTTCACCTCACCACTTTTTGTGGTACAAACTGGTCCTGTTTCTTTCAGAGCTCATGAAAATCTCTCACTCTTTGCTATAAATTTAAGGGATTAGGTTTTATGTTAAGCACCCCCCCCCCCCCCAGTCTTAGTAAAAGTGTAAAGGTTAATTTCAATTGCAAGAGATATTTTTTCCTTTGGAAGCTTACAGCCATTTTGGAAAAACATTTTTTTCTCACCTTTCTCTATCTCATTCAAACTGCAAATACTAAGATATGAATCTTACTAAAAATAGGATGACACCCTGTAAGAAAAGACAATGCCAATGCACTCACAGGAGTCTGAATTACAATAATCCTTTTTACTTTGCCCACAATTTCTATTTCTGTGTGCTGCTTCTATGGTGATTCTTTTGTGTGATATATTCAGAATATGGGTAGGAGCTGTGAGCTATTTTTGGAATGTGATACTACACATGCAAGCAATGGATCACGTTTATGAACAGAGGAGGATTCTGCAGAAGATGTCTCATTAGGTGCTATTAAAAGTATGTAATTCACAGATAATGTGAAATGCAGCAGGCTTCCAAGACAGCAAGGCACAAAACCTGTTTGTGTTGTAAGCAAACAGAGACAGAAAGCAGTGCTGCATTTTTAATTGATGGGTGCAGTCCACCTTCTAAATTGCTTATTTTGACACAAAGTCACTACACAGGCACAAATTTAATTTTTTACTTTGGTTTCCCAGTTGAATTTATTTCTGTTCCTTCTCTTCACCTAGAGGAAAAGCCAGCGTTTATGTGTTATTTCTTTTATGTGTTTTTACCTGAAAAGCACTTACTGAGCAGTGCCAGAAAGGTATGACGTGTCATCCTTGAATGTTTCAGCATCTGTGTATCTGGGACTTGTGGTATCCAGGGGGTAATAGAAATCTGGGCTGATGAGTTTCCCTGGCATGCCTTTCACATCATGCACAAATCCATGCTTAAAATATGCTGTGTGGGCCACGTCAAGGCACCCCCGCTGCCATTTCCCTTACTGAAGGTGCCACTTGCTCATCAGGTCATTTTTAGCTTTTGGCTGGAAAACTGCTGGGCTTACTGAAAGGCTTGGGGAGTTCCCTGGGTGTTTTCCATTGGAGAAACCTACATCCTGTTATTGGGGAGCTTTTCGACTTCCCTTTGCAAAGTGAAAGAAGTCTGGGAATGCAATGTTTATCCGTTCTGATCTCTTTCTGGCTCATGTCTGTCTATGAACAGCAAGTGCCTAAATAAAAAGGAAAAGCTATCTAGTAGGGTGCTGATTTAAAAACCAACACAGATGGATCAGCACTGAGAAGTCTGTATGTAGATGTAAGTATATGCATGTGCATAAATGTATTAAACACTGTGTGTGATGGATCCTAAAATAATCATCCTTCAGGCCAAAACCATTTAGATTCCTAACTGAAGATTTTTCGCATGTGCTTATATTTACCTATTTCTACAGAGCACACACACGAGTGTACCTGTCTGTAGAGCTGTGTCCTGCAGTCCTGCGGGGGACCCGACCTGTGCTGTTTTTGGGGCGCAGGTGGGGTCCCCAGGGAGGCGCGCAGCCGCTAGATGGGAAGTGCGGCTCCGTGCGGGGCAGCGGGATTCAGGGGCTCACAGCACGGACTCCTTGTTGCTAATTCGCGTTTGTTTAATGTTTCGTTGCCAGGTCTGGCCTGTGTCTGTGATAAGCCCGCAGAGGCAGGAGCAGGTCGTGCTTGGAGCTTTCCCTTTCACCCACTTGGACAGCGGAGGGCACGGACGGGTTTCTGGTGAGGAGCTGCTGCCCTTGCACCGACTCCTGACTGCGCAGTAGGAGGGCAAGGGGTCCCAAAATCCCCTCCTGACCCCTCGACATTCGGTTCTAGAGACCTGCAAGTGCTCCAGGGTGTTCACAGGGAAACCTGCTAGGAACATGAAATCTGGTCAGGTGAAAGTTTAACCCGTGCACATCCCCATCATTTCCATAATGCCAAGACAAGTATATGCCCACTTGGCTTCACAAACAGCCCATCCAATGACACTTGAAATGGCAAAGAAACTGCTATTTTTGTTTTTATGGAAAGGAGAAAGCTTAAAATATGTATGCATTATCTGGATATATTTGGGATATAGCATTCCCTCATGCAGTTATGGTATTTATTCAGAAACAGTGGATAAAGTAAGCTTGGATTCTGGATAGAGCTGAGACACCTGGTTTGTGTCCACTGTTGTTTTCATGTCCTGTAAGTTCATTAGAGAGGTATGACAGCTTAAAGGAGTAAACCCATGTGGATGAAATCCTTTGCTTTCCTTGGGGCCAAGAGAAGGATTCTGAGCACAGAGATAGGGTAGTAAAAACAATAATACCTTTTCATTTTTTTTTCAGGGTAAATGCTACCATCTTGGCTTTTTGTGGGATATTTTATTATGGCTGACATTTTATTATAGTGCCAAGTTCCTGGCACATGGTCCAAAAATGCTGTAAGTCTTGTCACCTTCCCAGTTCCTCACAGCTTGCTGTACTGTATTTTTTTGGTATATTGTTCCCTATAACTCCCCAAATTCTAAAGCTGCCTTAAAAACTTTTGGGAACAGTCCAGTTTACAAATCAGTGGAGTCAGCTAGGAATGTTTCACTGATTTAAGTTAATCTGAGTAAACCTTCCATCCTGCTTTAAAACTTGTAATCTTTGTCTTATGTTTTTCAAGCATTTGTGAGATGGAGAAGCATGCTGATGGCTTTAAAGTATTTAACTGCCTCAGCACTCTCAAAATCTCAGCTGAGCAGCAAAGCCAAGGGCCAGGCTCCAAGAGCACCCTCCCTCCCCTTGGATCATACTGGAGGTTTGTTTGTTTGTAAAAATCAGCTGGAAAGAATCTGAGCTCTGGCTGAGCTTGACCTATGTGATGGGTGAAGTGTCTGACCGTGAGGCTTTCAAAGGGTCTGGCATAACTATGGGAGCTCACAGTGTACAGTGGTACTGGGCTGGAGGTTCTCAGTCAGGAGCTGGCTGACAGGTAGGAACCTCTCAGCTGGGGTAAGGGACCAATAAACAATAAAATAAAGGACTCCAGTTCTCGCTGGTTTGTGCAGTTCTAATCTGAGTTATATTCAGAGAACCAAAGGTACTGGAGAAATCTGCAAGATTATTTAGGATCTTCTCAGAAACCAGATGATATAAGAAAATCATCTGGAAATCCCTTTTCTTAACAAAAGATGAAAAGAAAAAAAAAGGCAGGGTATTGCAGGTCAAAAGTGCAGTGTCATAATAGGCAGCAGTGTGTCCAGGAAGGGGAAAGTGAGGACAGCCTAGGAACAGGTCTTATGAAAGCAATAGGAGAGGGAATCCCCTGAGTCCAATTTATATAAGGAAATTCCAGAAGGCAGGAAGCAAACACTGTGGTTCAGCCACAGTGGGAAACAGGGCTTTTGTGGCTTTCTGTGGTCACTCAGGGTGACTTGACATTTTGAGTACTGATGGGGGGGGATTGAGGTGAATCATCCCAGGTAGAAGGGGAATGAAAACTCCACAGTCATTCAGACCACATCCTGACCTCTTGAATCCAGCTGGAAATATGCTACTTCTTGCACTTCCAGGGAGTCCCAGACATCATCATTTTCTCTTTCCTGACAGTGCTTCAGAGTCATCATCAGGTGTCATGGTGGCCTTAAGCTTACACCATCCACACTACAAAATAACTTCTGAGTAACCAGGATATGGTAGAAAAGTTTCACCCCCTGGCTTTGAGCAGGTGCTTTATAGCCTGTGCTATGCACATCCTACCCCATCCTACTCATATCCACGCTAAGCAACATGGACCATTTCCCTTTTTTCACTTATTTATCTTTGTGCCTTTTTATTGGGGTGATTTCTCTGCTGCTTGGTTACATATTGGTGTTGGATTGTGCATAATTGTCATGGTTGGTTTCTTGCTTGTTTGGCATAATTTATCTCCTTCATTGGAAAAAAAAATTAAAACAAATATAAGGAAGAACTGAGGTGACTGCAGAGCAGGTTGTTTTTCATGTCCTCATTTTCACTTGCTGTTTGAATTTGGTCTGCCTTGAAGGGCCAGTTGCCAGTGATTGTATCTGCACACACACACATACACCACAGATACAATGAACTTTTCATAGTCAGGCTTTACAAGTAAATGGAGGGTGCTTGTGTTCACACAGTTAGTTTGGATTCGTTCATACATGCTTTTGAATGCTGCCTGTAAGCTGCTTCATGACCTCAGATGTCACACAACTTCCTTTTTACATCCGATACTTAAGTACCAGGCTGCTGAAGCATCTCTGTGTGAAGTGGATTTCAGAGTCTTTGCAAGAGAGGTTTTTGCTGAAGCATTCCATAGAAGTATGCTCCAGTAAATATTACCTTTAGTTCAGATTAAAGTATGAAAGACTTAATTTAATAGTATTGCAGAAGTCAGGTAGTACTGAAAAATGTAGGAGTCCTAGAACTTCTTTACAGCAGTTTTTTAACAGGTTGAAAGTTTAAAAGTATTAAAAAAATCATTGCACATAAATACTCCTGTATACATATTTTATAGTGCAAGAATTCAAGAAAGATCAAATTCAACACAAAGTTCATTATTTAAATATAAATGTCAATTTACAAGTGATAGAGTAGCCAAGTCATACCACTGTGGAAAGACAGGGCTTCTCTTGCTTGCCATGTTTCTCCAAATTTCTTGCAGTGAGTTGCAGGCATGTATAAGCAACACCCAACTTAATAATTTTCAAGGCATAGTGCAAAACACAAATTTTATAATTGATAATCACAAAGGTCCAGGCTGGGGAATGAGAAATTACCTAGATATAGGGTTAGCTGAGGACATAATTGCCAAGCACACTATCATACTAGAAAAATGCGTGTATGGAATAAAATGATTTCAATTTGCATATTTGGCGCTGTTTATTTTCTCGTTCCCTAAAGCATCGAGGATAGACATTTCATACCAGCCAAATGTCATAAAACTGGCTCCTGCCTTGCACTGGCATGCTGTACAACATGTATTTTAAACCCTACCAGCAGCCTCCCTTCTGCTCTGTAAGTACAATGCCAGCTGCCGCCGGTCAGCCTGATCTTGCCCACTCGCGGAGCGGTTGTTGAGTGGGAGGAAGCTGGGGTAGCAGCTGGGCTAAGCATGTGCCCAGCCCAGAGCCAAGATAACATTGCTGAGAATTTATTTCAGTGTAATGGCTGATCTGACTAAAGCTATTTGGAGATACAGTCATGCAACTTCTATCCATGGTGCAGATACATACAGGGTGTGAAAGTTTAATGCTTGTGCATCTGAGGGCTGTGATCTCATTCTCCGCCTGGCCACTTGGGAATAGGAGATTGCTGATAGTTAAAGTCATAGTGTAATGAGTGTGAGGTGATAAGAAAATGTGGAGGAAACCTGTATTCATTACATGAACAAATATGATAGAAACAAAGTTAATCTGACACCAGTTGCTCAAAAAGTTAGCTGTTTAAATCTAAGCTGCCAAAATTCAAGTTTATTTCATTCTAGAGTAGACTCATGTGCATCTGGATTCAGTTATCTAAATGTAGATCCTGTGTAATTTTAAATGCTTGTGAGACATACCACCTGCTGTTCCAAGAAACGTCAAATATTTTGCAAATTCAGTATCATATGCAAGCCCGTGCTACCGCCAAATGGCTTGAAGTACCTAAGTTCTCTAAAGTAGCACAAGTACACAAGTAGCACAAGAACCTACAAGTATTCCTTGAATACTTTACACAATTTCAACACCATGACCTCATTGTCTTAATTCAAAGCTAAATCCTACTCCTAAAAATTCAGTGACACCCATTCCAAATAAAACAGACTTCAAAGCTTCAGCTCTGCAAGTGTCCATCACAATGCTGGCACTAATAACTACCAGTATCACACTGGGTTAGTAGTGATGAGGACTTTGGACAGGAGTAACTTGTATTAGGCTTGAACTAAGATGGAGGACAACTGATCTCATTATTCTTTGAAAATATGAAGATTTTTGATTCCTTGAATGGCTCAGGAAAACAAGAATCTCACAACCCTTCAAATTTGGAAAGTAAAAAAATATTGCTATATTGATAATGATGAATGGAACAACACAGTATTCTCGCACCTAATAAGATGTCATCAGTTACTGAATCCAGTCTGGAAGCTGGAGATGTTACTGGACTCTTCTCTGGAACCTGTTTTCATGCAATATTTCATCCAGCAAGGAAGAAAGACTTGCAAGACCTCCTTGAGTCTTAAGTTTCTTTCTGAAACATGGCAATTTGTGATTGATAGCAAAATGAAGGTTGAGATTTTTCCCTGGAAAAAGAACATCTATTGCTACAATCTTATGGATAATGGGCTCTCCAAAGAAGGAGTAAATCCTTGCCCACATGAGAAGTCCTCTCCTGCACAGCTGTGTCAGTAAAGAGCACTTGTGCAGATGCAGTCTGTTCTGAAGAGGATTTTTTCATGTAAGGGGAACTTTACACTTTTGCTCAGGTCAGTGAAGCCCTTCTGTGTCTCTTCTCCATTGGTATGGCATTTCACTACATGTGGTAGTAAGGTCTGGATAATTGGGGGTTTCCCTGCAGACTTGTTTTTCCAGGTCATTCATGAAAATGCCAGATAAAACTAGTTCCGGTATCTGTACCTGGGGATACTCCAGTAATTTCTCCATCCTGTATGTGAAACTTAAGCCCTATTTTTTGTTTTCTGTCTTTTAACCAGCTTTCCAACTCTTAAGTAGCGCTTCCTCCAGAATAGTTGCATTTTGATAAACTTTAATGCAGAAGAGCTTTCAGTTATTTTTTCCTGCCCTGTTTGTTGTTACTATATATTTATTCCATCTGACCTTAATTAAGATAGATTTCTGTGGCAGATGCTAACACTCACCAAGCAGTCATCGTATCTTTTTTCATAGTACTGCCAGGTGATCAACTACCCCTAAAAGACTTTAAATCTGTAAAATCTGCTGTGCTGTAAAAATTTAATTTGGCACAGATCTGCCCAGACACAGGTCTCAGACACAGCCATAGGCTTGGATTCCATCGGGAAGTACAAAGGAGAGGAGCATGTAGGGTTGTCCTGTTCCCCAAATGTGCACATGAACATGGCTGCTGAAGGTCCCCTCGTTGCTTTGCAATGATCATGGCAATTCCCAGCTTGAGCTAAATATGGTTTAAGAAATTTAATTTGTTAATAAACATGGTGCTACTTCTCACCGCCATATCACCACTGCATGCCACAGTGTCTGTTCTGAATGTTGAGTGGAACCACACATGAAATATGCTCCATGGTGTCCATTATGACACTTTTGTTTCTACTGCAAAGGATTAGTAACTCCAATCCTTTGGCATGAGAAGAGTCTTATGCCTTTATCCTTCATCCTTTGATTGTCTTGGGTTTTATCAGGATACTGTCAGGTAGCTAATGATGGGTTTTGTGCAGCAGCTGATTTCTTAGGATGGGCCCCATTTATATACAAAAGCAGTCACCCAGCCTTGGTAGAGCAGACCTCTCACCTGAGTGTAGCTAAACTCCAACAAATCTCATTGTTGGTTCATTCAACCATATACACAGATGAAAGAGTATTTCACACTGGTTTTTACCTTATTTGAGAACACTTCATAGTCTAATATTGCCACTTAAATTTAGAGTATTTAGTGTATAGTAACTGATGTATTGCTTATATGGAATTAAACCTTTAACTAAAAAACCATGTTTCTAGCTATGAAGTATAGGGTATGTATTTTTATTTTGCATGGTGTGTTTAGTAGGTGGCAGTCTGTCTCTTCCTTTCTAAATGTTCCTGAGTTATTGTCATGATAAAACTTCTAATTCTGTAAAAGAGAGAAACAAAATGTAATTTTTACCTTGACAGAACTTTGGGATGGATGAAGCAATTTTCTGAAGTGTCTTTAAAAAAAAGTTTCACCTTGGGACAGAAAACAGAAAAGAAAGATTTAGCCTGTTAGAAGATTCAGGGGTGTTAACACTTATATACTTATGTACCTATGCAGACAAAATAATAAAACCCTAGTATTTCCTAAGAAATCACCAGCATGCTATATAATTTCTAACAATGCATCCGAGGATGCTGCACAGCCCCATTATCCAAATGTCTGCAAGCTTCACAATATTCAATGTTTTTTCCCATACCATCCCTGCTAAGGAGAGAATGCGAACAGAGAACCAGAAAGACATTCAAAGCACTGCTGAACAAAGACCACTGCACTGAACTTGAACATCTGAGCTTGTTTCTGAGTTTGTTCTGGCACACAAACTGCTGTGGCTCAGCCCTGTGATCTGTGGCTCAGCCCCTTTGCCCTCCCTGCTGCAGGGGAAGGAAGCATCCAGGAGAGGACACACCTGTCTGACACCATCAGCAGCCCTGCAGACTGGTGTGTACCTGCTCAGCCCTGCTCACACAGGCGTCAGCCTCAGCTAATTCTGAGCAATGCCAGTTGGCCCACACAAACCACAGGGACTGCAGAACTCAGCAAGGTTGCTCAGTGTCCCTGGGTTCTCCAGGTGAGAGTGCTATGCTCTGCACAACCACCCTTCCTGCACTTGCAGGGGTGGTCAAAGCTCTGTGGCTTGTGCCTTGAGGCCGGCTGTGATAGCTAGTGGGACCTGGCTGGCACCTGTCTTAAATCTAAGCAAATTTTGCAGCAAATTAGACCTATCACATAGTATTGAGTTCAGCACAGAAAAAACACCAGCATTTTCTAAATCACTGCTAAAGAAAACAGATAGTACTGCAAGACTGTAGATGTTAATCAAAAGGGGGGAGATCTGATTTAATATTCCTCTCACCCTGGTGAGATTCAGATTGTCCTTCCCAGGATATTGCACTCCTTGGCAGCCTACAGACAAGATTGTGGTAATGGTCATTTATTCTACAGGCAGAATGTGAAACTAATGAGAGAACAGAAAGCAGAAAAGTGTCTAAATCTGCAGGCTACTATTTATAGGTACATCCTCAGCAAGGAGAAATCCTTGTTTCTGCCTCCTGCTTCCACACTGATCTGTGTGCTTGATCCAATGACCTATAAAGTGGTAAATTCAACACAACGTGGCAGGGGTTTTATGCTGTATGAGGCAGTCATAGTAAAGTGTAGAGTGGGGTGATGTTAATCAATAGTCACCACGACTTCTAAATTGTCTCTCTCAGTCAGAGATCGGTGAGATTGGAGATTGGTGTTAAATTACTGCTAATAGGTCCTTCCCACATGGGAAGAATGGGCGAGTGTCAAGACATAAGAGTGGGGTGAGAACAATGGGTTGGAACATGAAGGCAGATGCTGAGAATGCTGGAAGATGGAGCTACTCCTGCTGGTGAAGGAGGCACTGGACAGATAGGAAGCTAGAGCCAAGACAGAGCTATGTCAGTCTGGGTGTTTGCAGAGAGAATGGGCTGCACCAACATGAGGAACAGCACAGTGGGGAACTGTTTCTTTAGGTAAGAAATGAGAACACTGACCTTGCAGACGTCTGAGGAGATTAATTTTTTTTTTGTCTTTCTTTTTCAGTATATACAGCATTTTATTTGGGAGCTGCATATCTCTCAGGCTGGGTCATATAATGGTAGTGCTTCTGCTTTTTCCGCTCTGTGTCGGGTTGTGTGAAAAGGATCTGTCCATGATGCTGTTATCCCAGCTCTGGAGACTTCCAGTGGTTTCTTGGCCTTCAGGATCTCACTTCCAAGGCTGTTGCCCTAGCTGCTGTTTGTCTCTGCACCCACAACCACTCTGAAATCAGGCAAGATTTGTCCTTGTGCTGGCGCAGTGCTGGAGGCAGCAGGGGCAGGTGGGCACTACACACAGGATTTTCATCCTGTAGAGCTGGATATGCCATGGGGCTGCATGAAACTGAAAGGAATTCTCATCTCCAGATAGGAGGATTTCCTTGGGCCTGTCCATGTTTCAGTATATACAGAAGTCCTTCAAAACAGAATCATCTTGGAGAGACTTAAGAGGTTTCAGCAATCAAGGCAAGTGATGTTTAAGATTATGTCCCTGCCAAACCATACTCATGGTGCTACACATGTATTTCATGGGATCTAATAAGAAAATAGAGTCAGTAAAATTAGTCAGTGAATCAAATGGCTAATGTCCTTCTCTGGTAGAAAAACAATCCAAAAACATCCTGGCAAATATAAATGAATGGTCTTCCCTTAGTTCAGGGAGTACTGCAGGATATGCTGGTGTTTCTCTTTATAAGGATAATATTTCTTGCTAAATTAGGAGATTTTAATAAAGGATTTTGACATTATCTTGAGTTACAGTCAGCTGTCATTTATTTTCTATGATCATAACAACATGACAAGTTTTTCTTGGCATTCTAGACACTTTCAGAGAACATAAGAAAGATATTTTAGTTGGGTGAGAGATACAGTACCAATGAGAGGAGGACTATTAAATCTAAGGATTAAGGACAGGGATGTGTTTGATGCCTAGAAGCTCCTATCTCTAAACTGCTAGTGATTGGTTAAATAAGATTTAAGCCAATTTTCTCCTGGTTGATGGGCACCAAAACCTTCCTTTTGGTGACAACTGAAGCCTGAATGAGCAACAAGATAATGGATCATCCTGCCAGTTATTCAAACCATTCTAAATTTAAAAAAAATATGAAGCTGAAGCATTAGGACTTGACCTCAGACATAATTTACGTAAAGAATAAACAGAGTAGTTGTTTTCGGAAAGTTACATAAGCAGTACTTTCCCTTACCACCACACTTGAAATTAGTTACAATACCTCACTTAAAATATGTCAGACCAACTATTTTGAATTGCTGAGCTATAGAATAGCTTGATAAATGGATTGATATTTGTTGTCTCAGGTGGCAAGCTATGATTGTTTCTTTGTGCTACATCTCTTAAGTTGTCAATTATAAAAAATAGCTACATTTCACAATTTGCAAATAGTTTTATAAAAAAAAGCACTACATTTGCTTCAGTAATGTTACCTCAGTTTTCAAAGCTTACTAGAAAATTTGATTTCAGTATCTACTTTCATGCTCCCTCTTTAAAAATTGCTTCTGTAAAAAATGTTGTGGAACTAAATCAAGTTATCCTACAGAACACAGTATGGATACAGTTGGAAAGGACCACAGTGGGTCATCTGGATCAACCTCCTCACTCAAGCAGAGTCATTCCAGAGCACATGGCACAGAATTTTTTCCAGATTGTTTTTTAATATCTCCGGTGAGGGAGACTCCAGTAGATTCAGTAGTGAGCAGTGAATAACTGAAGCAGTAAGTCAGACATAACAAAGTCAGCATTTAATTTCTGACTCTTGAGCTTTAACCTGCCACTATTGAGGCAAGACAAAATTTTGCACTGGTGGACTGTCAGGAGAGCCCTAAGCTAGCTCTGAGTGATGGCTTTGTCTACAGCCCTGCTAGATGCAGATGCTGACTTGGCCACAGAAGCAGTGTATTGCTGTGAGCACTGCTCTGAGCCTGAGCTAATGCTGCCTGGGGCCTGGTTTCAGGGTTGCACAGCCAACAGTGCTGGTGCCCTCTTGTCTGTGAGGATCACACAACAGCTGTGTGCTGAACGTCCTGATAGACTGCCAGCATACCCTGGGTGCTCTGCTGGCCTCAGACCCTGCTGCTGCAAGTCTGCACAGGTCCACTTGCCTCTGGGTTGTGGGCCAAAGAATGGACAAGAAAGAGAGATTTGCTGGGCTCTGTTTTGGTCTTTTTTTTGCCAATGCTCTTTGAAGATTTTATAGACAGCGCAGCCTTAGCTTATGGAGAGCGATGGTGAAGGACAACTCCATGGCTCTCTGTTGCATGTCAATACTGATCTTCCTATTTAGTGGTCATTCTTTGACACACTAGCTATTCTCCCTTGCTTTACAATTTCATTAGTAAGAGATTTTTAAAAATAGATCCTCTTCATAACCACAGTGCATCAGAGAAGAGTCACTACCTTCCTTCTTTCAACTTTGAATGAATCACAGAGTTAATCTTGGACACCTAGAAAACTGTATTTCTAAATATCAGGCAGCTATTTAAAACCTGTGTTCAGCTGTCATTATGTCCTGATAGAGGTTGTGTGGCTCTGAAATGTTGAAAAAATGCACTATTTGAAAATAAAAGCAAGTTATAACACACCAGACTGCAAGCATCTGTACTGTGAAGGCTGGATGGAAAGCTTAGAAAAGAATACAGAGTGGAATTGCATGCTGACAGCTCTCAGGCATTTTTATTCAAATGTTTCATTTAGGATGATTTAAGACCTCCATGAGCAATGCCAGCAGAATCAATAAATAAATGCAGACAGTCTATGAGGATGCCGCTGTCATGGGAGAATGATGAACAAATGCCCACATATCATATTCCTGGGCGTCCCAGCTTGTCCTCCACCCTCATGAGGCGGGCTCTGTGAATTTCTGAAGTGGTTTCAAAGTGAGGCACTGACTCCTGATGGTGTACAGATGTGACTTCCCTAAACACTTGCAAATGTGCCTGTGTTCACACACCCAGATGTGCACATTGCCATGCTTCTGTGATTAATCCTATGGCCTGAGTGGTGAGACACTACATCTGTATCTAAGACATTTCTTCTGATCTCTCCTCAGAGTTGGTAAATCCTTAACACCATTGAAGTAATTAAGAGAGTTCCATGCTTTCACACCTAAGGAAAAAGATGGAAGATGTGGATCTAAATATCAAGCACAGACTTGAAGCTGTTACTGCTATGGGTGTCCTACTTGAGTATTACCTTTTGGCTTAAACAAACCCACCATCACAGTGATGGGTTGGAACTATCCCAGTTTCATGAAACTCATCTCTCCCATTTTTTCCTCTACTGACAGTAATAAGTAATTCAACACAGCCTGCAATATCTCCTATCATCAAAACCACTCATGCCATAGGAGTCCACACAGCACTTGTGTAAAGGGAAGGACACAAACAGATCAGTA